AAACTATTTTTCCTGGCATTCCAGGGGTTAAGAGTCTCTCTCTCTTTCTCACTCTTTCTCATGCACACACTAACCAAAATGTCTTTATTAACTAAAATGGAAGAGAACATTGTTGATTAAATATTATCTGCCAAACATTGTTTTAGAAGTTTTATTCACATAGATTATATTATTTAAATCTCACAACATACCAATAAAGTAATAATTATTACTACTGGTTTATCAATAAAGAAACTGAAATTCTGAGAACATACTGTTTTATATCTTACAGTCTAATTTACATTAATTTGTTCAGGTAAAATGTATATTTCAGATCCACATAAGATTTAAAATAAAATACATATACATTTATTAATTATAAAAAATATTGAGCACATATTGCATATAAAACATGCTCCCTGCCTTTAAGGGACATTGTAATCTTGCAGAGTACTTAGACATATGTAGAAGTCAGCATAGTACAAAGTAGAAAATTCTTTGACCTAAGATGACTGTGGATTTACAAAAGAGGTGGGCATTACTTCTTGGAGGAAACATCTGTGACAGTGGATGTCTTGTACATTCATCAATGGTGAAAAAGGCTATTCTAGAAGAAGGGATTATTTCAAGCACACAGTTGAACATAGGAAAGAGGGCAGTTTATATATATCCAGTCAATTGTAGGTATAAATATAATAACCTGTGCCTCTGGATTTCTGTTTTATGCATATATATATATATATGTGTGTGTGTGTGTGTGTGTGTATATATCTGTCACCACGTGTGTGTGTGTGTGTATTATTTAAACCTATATGTATGTGTGTACATATGTGCATAAATATACATATATGCATGTATATTTTACATATATATTACATATACATACATGTATATGTATGTATATTTGTGCATATATATACATATATATATATGTGTATATATATAATTACAAAATTTGCTTTTAGATAACAAACATTTCCTTTTATATTCATGGATATTTATTTTTTGTTTTACATATTCATTGTGAATTTTAGCTCTAGATTTTGATGTATTTTTCTTTAATGTTAAATGTAACCCTAAAACTTTATTGTTAATATCCATAGCTTGTTCTGTCTTTCATTACTACAATATTAATGTTTTAAAAATGTATTTATGAATAAATATTTTTATATAACCTATTTAGCTATAGAATTATAGATTAAACATTTTTTTAATCCACCAGATACCAATAATTTTTATAAATACACATACACATAGATGTGCAAACCCACCCACACACACACACATAATTTTGCATGTGTCAAAGTAGTGTCTTGAAATAATTTTCTATATTCTATTTGGTTACTAATTGTTCTGGTTTTAGGAGCAGTAGAATAAGTAAAGGCACTGATAGTTCTCATTCTTGCTGAGTCTTTCTCTGAGGTACTGTTGGCAGCTCAAGGGTCCCAAATGGAGGCAGCAGACATCTCGGAAAGATTGAGGACTTGTAGTCAGATGGGTCTGGCCCCACTGTATGACCTTAAGCAGGGTATTCAACTTAGCCTCAACTTCTTTAACTGTGAGGTGAGGATGAACTAGATATCTTGCAAGATTATCATGAGTATTAAATAAAATAATGGCTATATGTCTGTAGTAGACATGTAGTAGATGTACAAGTAGAGATAGCCTGGATTTATATTTTTAAATTCTACATATGAGTGAAATCATATGGTATTTTGTCTTTCTCTGTCTGACTTGTTTTAGCCAGCCTAGTACCCTCTAGGACCATCCATGTTGTTGCAAATGGCAAGATTTTACTGTTTTATGGTTGAGTAATATTCCATATGCACCACCTCTTCTTTATCTATTTGTCTGTTGATGGACACTTAGGTTGCTTCTGTATCTTGGCTGTTGTAAAGAATGCTGCCATGTATGTAGGGATGCATATGTCTCTTTGTTTTAGTGTTTTGGGTTTCTTCGGCTAAATACACAGAAATGAAATTGCTTGATCCTTCTTTGTCTCTTGTTATAGTCTTTGTTTTAAAGTCTATTTTGTCTGATATAAGTATTGCTACCCCAGCTTTTCTTTTTTTTTGTTTTTGTTTTTGTTTTTGTTTTCATGAAATATCTTTTTCCATCCCTTTACTTTCAGTCTCTGTGTGTCTTTTGATCTGAAGTGAGTCTCTTGTAGACAGCGTATGTATGTTTTCTTATCCATTCAGCCACCCTATGTCTTTTGATTGAAGCATTTAATCCATTTACAGTTAAAGTAATTGATAGGCATGTAGTTATTGCCATTTTATTATTTATATTTTTAATCTTGTTTTTCTGTTTTTTAAAAAGCATTTCCTTTGACATTTTTTTGTAATACTGGTTTGGTGGTGATGAACTCCTTTAGGTTTTTTATATCTGGCAAGCTTTTTATCCATCCTTTGATTCTAAATGATAGCCCTGCTAGGTAGAGTAATCTTGATTGTAGGTCCTTGCTTTACATCACTTTGAGTATTTTATGCCAATCTCCTCTGGCCTGCATAGTTTCTATTGAGAAATCTACTGAGTCTAATGGCAGCTTACCTACCTTTCTTGTAGGTAACTAACAGCTTTCCTCTTGCTGCTTTTAAGATTCTCTCTTTGTCTTTAACCTTTGGCATTTTAATTATGATATATTTTGGCCTCTTTGGGTTCATCTTATTTGGGACTTTCTAAGTTTTCTGGACTTATATGTTTATTTTTTTCATCACATTAGGGAAGTTTTCCATCATAATTTCTTCAAATAGGTTTTCAATTCTCTGCTCTCTATCTTCTCCCTCTGGTACCCCTATGATGGAAACATTAGTATGCTTGATGTTGTCCCAGAGACCCCTTAAACTATCCTCATTTTTTTTTTAATTCTCTTTGATTTTTCTGTTCTGATTGGGTGTTTTCTGCTGCCTTGTCTTCCAAATTTCTGGTTTCATCTTCTGCTCCATCTAATCTGCTGTGGATTTCCTCTAACATTTCAGTTATTGTATTCTTCATTTCTAACTAGTTCCTATTTCTTTTCTATCTTTATTTTTATGTTTTCTGTTTCTTTGTTAATATTCTCACTGAGTTCATCTGCTCTTCTCCTAAGTTCACTAAGCATTCTTGAACTGCATGTGATATATTATCTCCATTTTGTTTAGTTTAGAACAGAATTTTGTTCTGTTCTTTCATTTGGGACATGTTTCTTCATCTCCTCATTGTGGCTGACTCCCTGTGTTTGTTTCTATGTATTAGGTAGATCTGCTACATCTCCTTGTCTTGGTAGAGTGGCCTTATATAGCAGGTGGGGCTTAGTGGCGCAGTCTCCCTGGTCACTTGAGCTGGGTGCTCCAGGTGTGTCCCTTGTGTGGGTTGTGTGTGCCCTCCTGTTGTTGTTGAGTCTTGATTGGTGTTGGCACATCAGTGGGAGAGAGTGATTCTCAGGTTGACTGCTGTTAGGGATGGCCATGACTATAGTGGAGAAGCTGTGTGCAGGGGCTGATCCCACAGAGCAGGATTCACTTTAGCAGGGCTCTGGTGCCTGCATAGTCTGTCCTTTGGGTGTGTCATTTGTGAAAGTGGTTGGGTGGTGCTCTGTTATAGTCTAGAGCTGGCCACAGGGTATGTTGGGTTTGGGCCTCTTGGGAGAAGCTCCAGTACAGGCCAAGTCCAGCCACTGCCGGTACCCTGCCTGTGGCCACCTAGTATGAGCTACAGAGTGATCTGCAGATGGTTGCCACTTGTGCTGGGCTTGGAGGCATCTGGGAGAGGCTATGCTGCAAATTGAGACTGGCTACCACTAGGCTTGGGGCCACTTAGCAAGAGGTACATTCTGAGGGTCATGCTGAGGCCAGGTACTGCTTGTTTGGGATTTATGAACCTTTGAGAGATTTTAGGAAAGGCCATAGCTCAATACAAGACATACTGTTTGTATTGAAAAGCCACTTGAAGTTTAGGTGGGCCCACAAGTTGGGTGGGGTGGAATCTCAGGAAATCAACAGGGCCAGGTGATGGAGACGCAGCCTGGGTGCCTGCCTATGTCTGCAAAGTGGGTGGGGGCAGGGCTCAACAGAGGAATAATGGCTTCTGCCGGCACTTCTGTCTGGGAGAAAACTATCCCTCCAACTCTAACCCTGAAGTCAGACAATTCATTTCTTCACCATATATACCTGGTGCTTTTCAAGCTACTGCCCCAGTGCTGGAGCTCAGAATGAGTGACTCATCGGTGAGTTAATTCATGCATGGGCCCTTTAAGAGGAGCGCCTGGGACTCCAGCGGCCCTCTGTTTCACTCAGCCACAATTCCAGCTGGTTTTCACAGCCAGAAATTATGAGGACATCTTTTTCCCTTACTGGAGTCTTGGGCTGGGGAGCCTAATGTAGGGCTGCGGAGCTTAATTAGGGCTGGGACCCCTTGCTCCTCAGAGGAGGACTTCCATAGCTAAGATACCCTCCCGTTCCTTAACTGCCACATCATGGGTGTGGGACCAACCTATTCCATGTCTCCACCTCTGAGACCAGTTTCACAATGTGGCTTTCTCAATATATCCTTAGTTGTAGGACTTCTGTTCAGCTTGTCTTTAGGCCATTCTCAATGATGGTTGTTCTGTAGTTTAGTTGTGATTTTGATGTGATTGTGGGAAGAATTGGGCACAGTGTTTACCTTCTCTGCCATCTTGGCCAGAAGTTGAGATAGCTGAGATTTAATTCCAGATCCTATATACTCCAGAGAACACAAGCCAACCGGAATCTAGAAATAAGATATACTTGAGGCTAGGGTATGTCCAACTAACCAGTCAGATTTAAGGAAGGAGTTTTGTTAAATAAGTATACTAATCCTTCACATTATTATTACTACTTTTGTATTACTTTGTTCTGGTCAATTCTGGTAAACTGAGTTTATTAGCATTTTGATCAAAAGAACCACTGAAAACATATCACAGTATGAAAAAACAGGAAATTTTGATTGTGTAAATTTTCATTTATTTGAACAGGAGTGTAGGTACTTTTTTGAAGCAGTTATATTTTATTATCTTACAGATAAATCCAAAACAGATGGCAGAGTTGCAGTGGTGGCCAAGAAAAGGGTAAGATCATGTTTATCATATAAAGTATACAAACATCAAATTCTATTTGATTAATGCTATTTTCAAAAGAAAATTAAATGAATATTTAAAAGCGAAATAACATATAGTCATTTTTTTCTTATAAATGTTATTTGAGTATATGTTTCCTTTTTTAGATTGACACTAGAAATTTAATATTTATGGTTATTTATGTCAATGTTACAGAATTATCAAAAATTAGAACCTTAAATTTAAGTAGAGAACAACATAAGCCTTTTGAATGAATCTAAACCTAGAATCTTTTAAATCATAATTTATAAAGCCAATAGCATTTTTAAAGAATTTAAAATTTAACACATCATTCTGTATATTGTATGCAGAGAGATATTTAACTCTACTTACTGTCAAACTATGAGTGGGATAGGATTAACCTTGACATTCTCCTCAGGTGACAATATTCTTAACAAGACTATTGAAAAAAAGAAATAGTCAATGCTTAAATTCTTCTGGACACATAAGACATTGGTGTCATAAGAAAAAGAATTGTGATTGAAAGGAAAGCCTACACTTGTGGTATTTCCTGTGTTGAGTGGTGGGGTTGGTGCAGGTGCATCCAGGGAAGGTCGAATGTAACCTGGGGGAACAGAAAACGACGTTGGGCATGAACCTATAGAAGAATAAGTAATGAAGTGCGCATTATTTTTGTATTCGGAATACGTATATTTTATGAGTTCTTTTAAAATCAGTTTTCATTTTATCCTTTTGCTTTTTGGCTTTTCACTGGCTAAATAATGTTGATGAACCTTTGCAGAGAGGAATTCAATATTATAAAAGATAATGTTGCCCTTTAAAAAAGAAAGGGAATAGGACTTGTGTGTATGCCTGAAGATTTGGATAGGAATATGTAATGTAATTCAAGATTGTTAATGTGGATGGAATTATTTCAGTCTCTACTAAAGGATATTTAGAATCAAAAATGATAAAGACAGTAATAACTAACATTACGATACATTGCTTTATTTTTACCAGTGATACTCAAGAAAGGGAGTCCTTTCCTAGGACAGTGCTATTCAGTGTGGTCCATGGACCAGAGTTGGTCTGCGAACTATTTATTTTTGGTCTGCAACGAGATAGGAACAAAAAAATGAGAGTAACTATTTAGAAACTTGTTTAGTAATTTGACATAATTTTTGTCTTTTAAATGTAACAGTAAAATGGAACTTGTATTTTGTATGTCTTTCTTATGTCCTTATTTTTCCTAGTGGCTTTTTTTTTTGTAATTTTTTAAAAGTTTACATCTTAAACATATTAGAGGGGACAACTGGTACTTTACCACAGGTAGTTTGTGAGACATTGCCCTCTGGGATGTTTTAGAAATTTGTGAAAATGTTTTGGGTTATAGTAATTTGGGCGACTATGAGGAATCTTGAGGAGCAAAGGTTAAGGATACTATATATCTTGCAATGCATGGAACAAACTGTATAACAAGAACTGCCCAACAGTTGTCATGACTTTCGAATACACTACCAGGCTCAATGAATTACAAATATCTTTGTACAGTGACATAATGCAAAATAATTCAGAAACACATTAGATAAAAAGCCAAAGAATTTAGAAGGCAGAAGGAAACTGAAATGAAATAAATGTACTGTTCTTGAAGTTTTTGAATAACTTACTTATTCTCTACTCAACATATTTTAACATTTTCAATGATATATTTAGCTATAAAAGGTAGAAGTGCAATTACTGAGATCTCTAACTTACAAGCCTCTGCCATTCTTATAGTCCCTTTCCTTCAGCTCTTCATCCATTTGGCTACCTGTTAAGATAGATGTGAGTAGGATAGGTGCACCTGCCTGACCTATGTCTCTGCTCAGTAACAACAGTCGGAATGAAAGAGACTGAGTAAGTTCACACCAATTTCTTTGAGTCCCGCTTGATTATTTTTTATTTTTAAAAAGAAGGGGAAGATCTAGATTGCTCTCAGCCCCTTCCTGCTCTAATAATCCATGAATATATATGTATATACTATTTATAACAGCTCAGTAAGTATTTTCAGATGTCAAAAAGTCTTGTGCAGATCAGAGTAAGTATCTGAGTCAGTTAGCCAAAAAAGAAATCAATTAATTAATTAAAAAAAAAAATAAAAACAGTAGTGTGTCAGAAAGTTGGGGGGAATAGCTGACAGTGTTGCCTGCTATAGACTCTGAAAAATATTTGAATATATATAAATATTCAGGAAACAGTAAATTGTGGTGGATAGAATATAGACTTATGAGTGAGCCAGATCTGCCTTCAAGAGCTAGTTGTGCTATGTAGTTGTGTGACCTTAGGCAAATTAACACCCCTGCATCTCATTGAATTAATCTCTGCATTGGGAGCAATAATAATTACCTTGTATGATTATTATAAAGATTAATATGAAAAGCAATTATAATAGCATATAGTTGCTATATTTTAGTAGGTGCTTGTGTAATAAATGCCAGTACTTTTTCCCCAATTTCTCAGAAAGAGGTAGGAAGTAAGAATTTAAGAACACTTAAAAATTCTCAGACTTGTAACAGTATCATAGTTCTATTAGGTAGTTAAGATTAGATTAAAAGTCTTTTTTTTAAGTAAGTCCCATATTTTAATCACGATTTATTTTTTTTTTCAAAATAACAGCATTGTATTTGGAGGATAGAATTTTTAAAATCATCCATAATCCATCACATTAATTAAGCCAATTTTTATTAATTTGATGCATTTGTTTGATGTCATTTTTTTTGCATATCTTTAGAGATGTATGTTTATATAAAACATGTATAAGTATATGTACTTTATTAACATAAATGGAATGAATTTAAACTCTCCTTTTTCACTTAATAAACATTTTGTCGACGTCTTCTCAAGTCAAAGATCTACAGTGGTTGCATAGCATTTTATTTTATGGAAATGTCTTAACTTATTGAACCATGTTGTGGACATTTAGGTTGATTTGATTTGCAAAATTACAAATAAAAAAGCAGCAATATCATTGTACATAGATCTTAATAAATGTTTGTGTAAATATTTCTATAGGAAAAATTACCAGAAGTAGGCTTGCTGGTTCAAAGAATAAGCACATTTAAAATTTTACCTCTTTGCTGAACATCCCCCACCAAAAAAATCTCCCAACATTGTACAAATTACAGTCTCATCATTAATTAAAGGAAATGTCTAGACTGCCTTAGCTTGCCAGTTCTAGCCATTTAACACTTCTCTTTCAAAGTTAATACTTTGTCAATATGTTACAAACATTTTTTTCAGTTCCTTTTAAATTTTTTGTAGTCCTTTTGCTGTACTTATATAGTAAAACTTTTCTTTGGGGGCTTCAGAGCTTTTGTAACATGCTTTAAATGACTACTTTTTCATTAAAACAAAATATGTTATGATTCACTTAACCTTTCTCCTGTTGCTATTCGTAATACGTCGGTGAAAAAACTGAAGCAAAATAAGTAAAAAAGACGAGTCGGGTGATAGAGCCAGGATTGTCTCTGTTCATTTTGCTTTAAATTTTTTAATGTAGAATTTTACATATTTCTAAATAAGACTATCCCAACTATTTATTACTAATGGTAAAAGGACTTCTTTTTCATTCTGGCTTACATATAGAATTTATGTGTGTATTCATGGGTATCTTTTTTCTAACACTTTTATTAATGCCAATAATTTAACATATACTTTGAAAGACAAAATTAATGACCACTCTTTTGATTTATACATTTACATATGAGAAATTTAGGCTATTATATTTTCAGATAAAAAAATATTGCAAAAATTCTTCAAAATCAGGACATTTTCATTAGCCCAAGAGCAAGATAAATTGCTTACATTTTATGACTAGATGTCTGAATATTTGTTTTAATTCATAAGCTTGCTTACTAATATGGAATTCATATACTGCAATTCACTTGATTCACTTAGCTTTATATGCATCTTTCCCCAAAGATGAACATTATAATAGATCTCTACTGCTGGTTTCTAGCCCCAGACAGAGAGAAATCTCAGAAAAGAATAATAAGCAGAGGAACCCATTGGGAAGAGTGTCAGTCAGGCTTCAACACTCATTTAGTTTCCTTTTGTATTCTACTTTGTGGACATCATTTACTTTCATTTACCTTTCAAAACTCGAGTCAGTCAAATATTCCATCACCATTTTGCCAATTTCTATATTGTTAGTTACTATAGTTGTCTTTGATTTGATTTTCCTTTTTCTTAAATTTTTATTGAGGTCCAATTTAAACACATGAAATGCATAGGTCTCAAACATAGAGTTTGATGAGTTTTTCTTAAATGTGTATACTCTGTTACATACTCGGGGAACACAATCATTCTGATCATACAAAAAGAGGTATATCTTTCACGGCCTCCATGAATCAAGGTGCAAGAGTAGATATCCTCCATTTCAACCTTTAGAATCATCAGAGAATTGATATAAAGACTTGTATCCAGATACATTTTTTAAAAGAATAATCTTTTTTTGTGTGCATGTGCTATTGTGTAGAGTCTGTCTATTTATATGTAGGAGAGAGATCATCTTCTTTTACACAATGCTGACAATAAATGCTCAGAACATTTGACAATGATTCATGGGTTGAAGAATCAGGCCTGTTATCCTTACTACTCAGGTTGATGGAGAGAAAAATGGTAAAACAGGTAATGAAATTCTCAATGTTCATTCTTTTTTCCAGAAAAAAAAGTATAAGTACTATAAAAATTAAGTGTTCTATGTGCATCAAGTTTTTAAAATATAATTGAAATACATAAATTTTAGGAAGTCTTTATTAAAAATGTTATCTTCTTCCAACATTCATCTTGCTGAAATATCCAGAGACTTTAGGAAAAACTATACACAAATAAGAATTGTTTTCAATAGACTTGGATTTTTAGAGAGTTTCTAATTAGAGGTCAAATAATCTAATTTACTGACTCCATTCAGTTAGATAAACAACTGCAATATTAGTTCTTTTATTGGGAATCTTTCCTCCCAGGACATCCTG